CACAAGGATTATATCTAAATCTCGAATTTTTAACGTTTCAAGATAAAGGAATGTTGTTTTCAATACCAACGTAGGAAGTAATAGATGTAGATTTAGAATTATATATCTTCTAGACCTTTTTGAAGCTGTAAGATACAATATTAAATTCAGAATTATCAAAGTATGCAGGTACACATTTTTTAAAATTACAATCCTGATCATCCAGTAGTTTCTTCATTTCAAAAATGGCGTTTGTGATCTTTTGGTCTATATAGTGAAGGAAAAGCTTTTCGAAACCAAATAACTCTTATAATTTTAGTTCCTTCGTAAAAGAGACTGAAAAAGATATATTATTACAATCTGACATGATTGAGTTCTTTTCAAATAATGCATAATAATCTGGTCTATTTATATATCCCTATTGAAAGAGAAATATCAAATGAACGAAAAACTCAATAACACGATAGATGGATGTGAATGTCATAAAAACATGTATAGTTTATAATTATTAGTGAAAGCGTAAGGAATTTCGGTAGGACAGTCTCTCTAAAAGTGAATAAAAGATAAAGAGGAACATACTCAAAGAACGTTGAAGGTGCGACGAGAGCTATTTTGGGTTCCAGTTCTAGCCATATTCGGGACGGGAGGGGACAAGCTAATGCATGTGTTTCCCATCCCCACACAAACATTTCAGACCGGTGAAAAAAAGTTGTTATACAGAGTCTGATTTTAAAGTTCTATGCCAGTTAGTCAAACTTGTTTCTTTTATAACGTTATTCTTTAAGAGTTGTTTTTCAAAACTTCCTGCATGTTTGATTGCTCATTTAAATAGCCAACCAAAAATTGTTTTACATTTTTTTTTACCAATGATTATTAAAAAGTTATTACCAGAAACTAATAACAATTTGGATGAAAGGCTTTAAGAGCGGTCAATTTGAACTGCCACTGGAAAACAATGGTTTGTTGGATAGTGACAGATTTTTTGACGTGCAACAGTCTATCGACTGACCACTCAAATAAAGTGCTGTTGCAAGGTTTCTTTACAATGCAGAGAGCATAGTTCTCTCTCTATACTATGCGTCATATTAAACTTCCCTATTCTGAGAGGACATGGCTACAAATTTATACATCCCGCACAGCTAAACGAACGTACCGTATTTCACCAAAATAATCAAAATTTCGCTTTGTATTTACAAACAATTGTACGCTAAACAAAATTATATTCAGATATCGTTCATTAATATAATTGCACACATTATTAAATTAAAGCGATCAATAAAGAATTCACGACAAAGTAATTAATGGAGTGCATTGAAATCAGACTTTATGGGGTAGAGGGGTAAACAAAAGTCCATAACAATTCAGCATACTTACGATCAATCTTAGTCGCTATTGTTTTTGTGTAACCGACTCCTGGTGACCATTTTATTTTACCTTAAAATGCTCGAAAAATTCATAGCTTTGACATATCCGTCTTTAAAAAAAATCACCGGAGTATTTTTTACGAAAAATCGATTTAACCAATATTTCTAGCCTTAAACTATAATTAGAAAATTGCAAAATTTAGACATAAATCTAAAAATAAAGGATAATTTTAAGTGTAACATAACCAAGGGAAAAGTTTACATGTAGAATTTTAATGGGTTTTTTTCACATAATAATCATACTGACTTCGTTCTAAAAGTCGTTGAATTTGATGTAGCCTTTATTGTTGAAAGACTGGAAATGTTTAAAAATGGGGTCAAAGTAGCACATTTTGCTTCCTTTTGAGAAAAAAACGAGCATGGTGAACCCCTTTTTTCTTTGTATTTTTGGGTTCAGTATTAAAGGATCTACAAAATATGTGAACATAAAAACTGTTTTCTACCGGGTGTCCTTATTGGGGTGAAAAGTAAAATAACAAAAATACCGAAATCCAAGGAAAATTCAAAACGGACACCTTAACTTCGTTCGGAAGATGACAAAAATGAATATTTTTCAACACTAAATGCAGGAAACAATTGTGTACAAAAGTGAAAACAAAGCAAAAAAACAGACAGATGAGAATGAATAGTCAATCCGCAAAAAAAACCTCCTGCCCCTCCCCCTAGAATATCAAATGGTCGTCCCCTAATGGTGACACATTCAAAACCTACCTTTTCTAATACCAATATAAAAATAAGGAGATGAGGTATGATTGCCAATGAGACAACTATCCACCAAAGTTCAAATAAAGTGGATGTAAGCAATTATAGGCAACCGTACGGCCTTCAACAATGAGAAAATCCCATTCCGTATAGTCGGCTATTAAAGGCCCCGACATGAAAAATATGAAACAATTCAATTAAGAAAATTAAATTAACGGCCTAATTTATAACAAAACAATTAACGAAAAGCAAATATGACAGACATGAACCAATGACAACCACTGAACTACAGGCTCCTGACTTGGGACAGGCACATAAAGAATGTGGCGGAGTTAAACATGTTTGTGAGCGCTCAACCCTCCCCCTAACCTGGGACAGTGGTGTAACAGCACAACATAAGAACAAACTATAAAAATCAGTTGGAAAAGGTTCAACTCATCAGATCGATACAAAGCAGAAAACATCAAACATAACGTGACAAACCTACAAAACAACAGTATACAACACACAACAGAGAACACAAAAGACTGAGCAACACGACCACCACCAACATTTCGGGGTGCAGGATAGGATTATAAAACGATTCCATATGTAATGGAAAATGTAATCAGTGTAATCTAATTTTCCCCGATACGGTCAACCGTAACCGTAACCAATGCTTTAAGAACGAAATTATTATAAAAGTTGTCATATATTATGTATTGCGTTATTTCTAACAATATATAGAATATGAACTACTTTTGCTCTATATATATATATATATATGTATCACTTCTAGCAGGCTGACCTGAATATTTATTTTAAGATAACCATAAATAGATAAAAAAAAAAGATGTGCTAATGAGACAACTCTCCATACTAGTACTACCGCTTTCCCTCAACCCCACCAGCCTAACGTAATTATCATTGTTTTATTGGTCTTTAATACAATTTGGAAACGGGTTAGATTTGAAAGGGGATAAAGAGACGGCATGATGAAATTTCCAATGCAGCTATAGACAAAGAGGGAAGGTAGGAGCAGAATTTTGCTTAGTAAGAATTTTTAAACGTGCACAGGACGTGACACTCTATAAGCGTGGAATATAGAATTCCCGTTCCAAATCCCACCGGTTGTGGCTGCGTATTTATACATCCCGCACATCCAAACGATAGCCCCTCCTCAGCATGGGTTTTACTGCCGGACGGGAGTGTTCAGGTGATCATATTTTTATACCCCAGTTAACCCATGTGATCAATAATTCAGAAATGTCCTTATATTTATCTGACCAAATTGACTTAGGTAGATCTTGACATTGTGAACATTTTTGCCCTGGTTAAATTTTCTCTTATTTGATATTTCGTTTTTAGTCTTGGCAGCCATGTTGGTTGACCAGCAGGATCATAGACCACAGTTTTAAAACTCGATGCTCTAAGGATGATTGTGGCCACGCTAGGTTCAATTTGATTCAGTAGTTTCTGATGTAAGGATTTTGTAAAAGTAAACGGATGACGGACCACGACAAACAGACAAAGGACACCAAGTGCTGACAAAAGCTAATACTGGCCCTTTGATCCATCAACAAATTGGTCAACAATTGAATATGGTAAGCAGAATTTATATCCAGCTTACTAAAAATGCGGTTGTTTTTGTTTGAAAAAAAAAGATGAATAAGCATTCACTGATACGGCTTAATTTAGTTTTGCGTCAATTGTGAATGTGCTTTGTTGTTTAAAAAAATACCTATATTATTGAGAAAAAACATTCCAGGCTTTTCATTGTGTTTTTCCTTTGAAACTTTTGTTATTCCACTCAGAACAAAGAGAGGCTTTAGTGCTCAAGTACTCACAATACCAAATGTATCCAAGCCACATGTACCTGTCCCAAGTCTTCGTTATAATTGTACGTGTTTATTTCTAGGTATCCTTTTTCTATCTTTTTTGTGTTGATGGCAGATCTTTGAAATTTTTTGTATTACTTTTCCTAAATATGTTGAGCCAACATCTATATAGGAAAAAGACAGTTCAATTAAAGTCATTGCTTTATTTTTGCTTATTAGTGGGTTATTAATATTTCTATAACGTATATATTTTATGAAAAGTGAGGTATAATGAATCCGTTGTTTACCTTATCACGTCTGTTCTTTCCCATGCACCGAAACAAAAGTTATGATGAGACTTTTGATGAACATCTCGTGAACTATTTTAAAATATTTTACGCTTAATTTAGTTCGAACATAGAATCGATTTTACGGGAGCTAATTACTGGGAGTAACAAGTTGGTCTGACTTAATATAAAATTGAGAATGGAATTGGGGAATGCGTCAAAGAGACAACAACCCGACCAAAGAGCAGAAAACAACTCAAGGCCACCAATGGGTCTTCAACACAGCGAAGAAAATCCCGCACCCGGAGACGTGCTTCAGCTGACCCCTAAACCATAATGTATACGGGTTCAGTGAAAATACACGTCATACTAAACTCCGAAACATATACAAGAACCAAAATTAAAAAAACCATACAAGACTAACAAATGACAGAGGTTCCCGACTTGGGACAGGCGCAAAAATGCGGCGGGGTTAAACATGTTTGTGAGATATCAACCCTCCCCTATACCTCTAGCCCATGTGGAATAAACAAACACACAGCTATACGCACAGTTAAATTAGTTTAAAAAAAATCCGAGTCCGATGTTACAATAGGTAACAGAAGAAACTAAGCAAAACGACAATAATCAACATTAGTAGTTTTAGTACACATTGCTCCAGATTTTGATACTAAAGGCAGGATGAGAGAGACAAAACAGATTGAAGAAAAATATACAACTAAACCGGACATTCACTGGAATGTGCAGTAGCCTTGTACTAGTTGCTAGTGGATTTAAGGGAAACAATCAACATATACAAAATAAAAAAAAAATATTGCGAATTCTAGTTTTATATGTATTAAAGCACCGTGTAGACAATGCAGTTGAGCAGTTCCAGATTATGTATCAGATAAATATAATTATAAAACTATGTCCTTAAAGATTATGACATATTAACATGTTCAGCTAATAACAAGATGATGCAGATTAAAGCTTTTGAGAAATTGGTTCTATATTATCGTCTCCAATGGTTGCTGTGAAGTCCCTATTATTTTGTCCTGATATTTTATCGGTATAACCATCGATACTATCTTCCGTTTTTAAAACTGTGTTATCGGCTTGTATAGATATATCTTTCAGATCATTTGTCAGTGTGTCTTTACCAATATTGTCTATCTTTTCTGCCGGTTGAATTTCTTTGTAATCTCTTGTTGTGTCTGGATTTTTCACTTCACTTGTTTGACACTCTGAATCTTTGTATTTAGAGCCCACACTTTCATTTTCACTACTAGTTGACGATTTGTTTGATTTAGAATCATCATAATCAGAACCATTCTTCATACAAATTTCTGCTTTCCCTTCAGTTTCCGAATCATCGATCTTGGTTTTTTGGACACCATTTTGAAGGTCATGCGTACCTGTTTGATCAATCTGATATCTCGCTTTTAATTGTATATCAAAATCAGCTGTTTTAGTTTTCACACTGTCTTTCCTGTGACTTCTTGCAATGTTATTTTGTTCCGTTTTCCAATCTTTATAAGCTATTTGAAAAGCTCTAGACATCACAAGAGCCATAGACTTGGCTTTTTCAGGGGTGCTGCATAACACTGCATGACACAATAATCTAGGACTATTTTCTTCTTTTGATATCCAACTAAATATTTTTCCATTAGCAATACTCTCCGCGTTACAAAATGAAATATTTTCTATTGGAAATAACTTTCCTTCGTCTTTCTTTTTATCCGAATCTTTCATAAATATTCCATGAATGTTAATAACCGTCGTCACTTTATTCATCGCTCTCTCCTCTCCCGAATTATCCCACAGTTTCTGTACAGGTGCATTAGTACATCCAGTTCCATTTGGAACATATACTTCAACATTACCAAGATATCGAGTTTTGAAAACAGGGTCAGAATCTGTGATTTTCGCACGAACTTTCGAAGAAACAAACATTTTCAAACGATTTCCTTTAAAAAATGCCACATGTAATTTTACATAGAACAAGTGAAAACAACAAAACTAGATATTGTCATGTCGATCACAAATCAATTGTTTGACGGATTTAAATCATTTGATGAATCACACAATTCTAGCCTTAAGGCTACAACATCAATTTACATACACTAATTTTCCTATAAATTAAGACATATTTCACCTTCAAGTCCTTTTCCGTCGTGTACTAACCCCGTTGTTAAGTTTTTGCTGATAAGGAAATTAATCGTTTAAAATATTCGATAAGTAAAATCTATCATTAAAAGAAGCATTCCGGTTTAAGGAACTTTGCGCTGTCAAACAATTCAATTTTCGTACCAGAAGTTTGAAGTATGATAAGTAAACAAACATAAGTAAGAGGTTCCTATCACATGCTACTCCTACATTATTAATGAATTTATCTTTATGATCGTAGTGGGTATTGATCTCTATGCTAGGTCTATGGCGACCATTTGATCTGTTTGAATAACTTGGTATCCCAGTAGATATAACCAAATGTCCAAATTAAACTTTAATGAAATTTTATTGCACGTTTTATGGATTATTTTTTTATCAATTTGAACAAGCTCAGTCTCAGTAGGTGTTAATATATACAATTCTGCGAAATGCACGATAAATTTTTAATTTGATAACCAAAAACATTAAAATTAAAAGAACATCAACACTAAAAACAATAAAAAAAACTTTTAATTTTAATCTTGTGCAAAAAACGAGTTTCTAGACAATACCATTGCGAAGCTTTATATAATAATTATGATGCAGACTGCAAACTTAGATAGGCATTACATTTGCGCGCATTTAGGGATTTAAAAAAAAATACGTTTGCGCGCAGCTTTTGATTACATTCATTTTACAGGCAGCACAGGTAAAAATAAAGATAATTCATAATAAATATGACTACAGTTATTAATTTTGAACATATTTATAAATTTAAATTATATATTTAACATTAATTTCATAGTGAATAGTATTGTTTCCTAATTTTACCCAATAGCAATTGCTTTAGTTAATGATTCATGTCAGTTTGTAAAGTTGTAGCAAGACACACGCATGGAGTTTCGTTTGTCAGAGAGAAATCATGGGAAAAAATAAGGGAGTACGATGGATTTACTTTCTATATCGACAGAACACTCAAGTCATGTATATATGTAAAGGGTTGAAAAGGCAGGAAAAAAAACTGATCAACATTCAACAGCCATTCTAAATGGTAACTGTGAACATACAGAAGTCCGATTTTAGAAAACTTGAGAGGAAATTTATCTGTACGGTTGTAAAGAGAAAAGCTACAGCCGACATAACTGCTAGACCTATGAAATTAGAAGTTACCTATATTTACCTTTTAAAATGAATGCGCGCAAATGTAATGCACCGGCATACTTAACCTCGCTCTTGATGCCATCCACGATATCGTAATTTTAACTTATACGGATGCCTAGAGGTCTCAGATGTGAATCAAGGCAGATAAAATAGGATTGGTCAGTGGAAAGCTCGCTGTTACCAGTCTGACTAAAACCAACCCCCACTATTCACTTGCGTTGGTATGCTGGTTTTAGTCAGATTGTGCTGTTACTTACTTCGAACACATTAACTTATTCTGCAGATATTGGTCTCTGTTTGTCTCATTAGCAATCATACCTCAATTTCTTTTCTTAATATTTACGGTATTTTTCTAGACCATAGAACATCGAGATTTTAAGTTTTCCAGTGCAATGATCCACTAACTACATTGAAATGTATTTGGTAAATGATTTTCATCCCATACGTATTGCATCTTTAAAATGTCTTCTAACAATTATGTTTTCTATTTTTTCTAGAACTTACGAACACACATACACACAAACAGGTATATGCATGCATATTCAACTTTTATAGTTCTTATATACATTTATTGTGTACAGTATCGTATTTCATAACGATCCGGTGCCCTCGTAAGAAAGACAGTTAACTATTATCTAGACGCTTCTATATATAAATATATATATAGACATTTCGGCTCAACAAATGGCATTAATAATCATAATAATAATAATATATATCTTTATTTAAAGAGAGTAACTCATTTGGATTAAACCAATTTGCAATACGACTCTCTACATACAATATTAACTACATGAATAAAACATAATCAATCTACTAATACACTAATATAAACAACATATGACAAAAATAATACACCTATAGTATACATTGTGGTTAAACTTATAAATTTCACACTTTGTTAAAAAAAAATAATGACTTGTAAGAGTATTTGAATGCAGATACAGTTTTTGATTATTTAATTTCACTGGATAGTGAATTCCAAACTTCTGGACTACTAAAAGAAAAACTTGATTTGTATAATTCTATATTTAATTCAGGGACAATAAAATTATCTGATGACGAAAGTCGAGTATTGTACAATTGTTTACTATTTGTAGGCACATTAAGATTTGATAAATATTTTGGTGCCAGTTCATGTTTTGATTTATGCATTAATAATGACTTGTGGTAAAGTATTCTCTTAGTAAGAATAATTCCTTAAATAGTTCAATAGATGGTTTACGAATATCGTGTTCGTTTAAAAAAATTCTAGCTGCCCTTTTTTGCAATTTTAGTAAATTATCAATGAAAAGCTCGTTACAGTTTCCCCGTACTGAACAACAGTAATCCAAATGTGGAAGAATATAAGCATTGTAAAACAGAATTCGTGCATTATGATTCAAGCATTTCTTGATACTTTTTAATAACGCTAATGAAAAATTAACTTTTTTGATAATATGATTAATATGATCATACCAAGACAGAGTTGCATCAACAAAAATACCAAGGACAGTGACTCATTATTATGTTGGCCATTAATGGATATATTTAATGTGTCATTACACATGACAGACAGTATACACATTGTCTTTGTTTTTGACACATTTACTTTATTTAACATTTTGTTTTCATCACACCAATGACAAATATTTTCTAATACAGCATTGAGTGCCTGACTTATATACATTTTGCCTTTTTCAATCACAGAAATAGTGCTATCATCAGCAAAAAGATCAGTGTTATGATTAGGATTATATAAATGCAAATCATTAATAAATATCAAGAATAATATAGGACCTAAAACTGACCCTTGAGGTACACCTGCTTTTAATGTAGTTACATTTGAAAAGGTATTTGAAATGAATACGACCTGTAGGCCAAATATGAAGTAAACCAATGAAGTGAATTATAAGAACATTTATATTTTTGTAATTTTTAAAGGAGCAGTTTACGATTTAGAAGATCGAAAGCTTTACACAGATCCAAAAATACTACCCCTACTAAATTTCCTTCATTAATGGGTTTTTACCATTTATCTATCTAGCAGTTTGACAGGAATGGTTTGTAAAAAAGCCTGATTGCATGACACACAACATATTATACTTGTTTAGAAAATTCATCAAATGAGTTTTTACGTGTCGCTCAAGGATTTTAGATATCAATGGTAAAATTGCAATAGGTATGTAGTTAAATATATCATTTTTCGAACCTTATTCTTAAAAACTGGTATACCTTTAGCCAGTTAGAATAACGATGGGTATACTGATTTTCTGATGCTTAAATTAAAAATGTGACATAATGGAACTGAAATAAGGTGTGATGACATTTTTAAAAACTTTGCATTGATATTATCAAGACCTGTTGCTTTTGACTCATCACGTGTCAGTCCTATTTCAAAATGTGATAAAACAATGACTTCTTTGTGTGTAAATATAGCTCACTCATCACTCTTTCATAGGTAATCTGTGTACTTTATCCAATAAAAAAAAACAATTCTTTTCAGGCGTTAATACCCGTACGTAAGTATGCGTGTGCGGGTATCTTTGACATCCCAGTACTTGCCCAGGAATCACTATTCGATTCGTTGTCTTTGCCTTTAAATATAGTCCCCAGTATGAACAGTGCATAAATTGTAAATGTTACCTCATACACCTCCCCAATTCATCTCCTCGTGCTCCATTTACAAAGCAGAAGCAAACAGGGGCGGGGCTTGTCGCGCTCTGCTATTCATTTTGGATGATGTACATCTACGAATTCTCTGTTGTAAATACTTAACCTGCGTCAACTTTGAAATTTAAAAATTATACAGGCGTGGTTTGATTGTTGGGAATACATGTTATTGAGAAAGTTGTTAATAAATCAAATGCACGGTAATGTTCCGAACTGACAAATGACATGTTTACATTTTTAAGAATATTGAAATGTTTGTACAAAGCGACATAACTCAATAATCACTTTCTAAAAATAATACACAGGCCGCAAACAAACAGTATCACACGTAATATGAATTGTGATTTGAACATTTTGCTATAACATATAAAATTTAATTATGTACATTATTCTTTTTCAAACGAAAAAATCTGTAGAAATTATTGACAATTTAATCCATTATTATTTTTTTTCTGTATATACCTGTTCAAAGTCAAGAGCCTGCATAATTCAGTGGAATCGTATGTTGCTGTATATCATATTTGTTTTTCGTTTATTGCTTTGTACATAAATCAGGTCGTTAGTTTTCTCGTTTGAAATATTTTACATTTTTCATTTCGGTGCCTTTTATAGCTTACTATGCGGTATGGATTTTGCTCATTGTTGAAGGCCGTACGGTGACCTATAGTTGTTAACTTCTATGTCATTTTGTCTCTGGTGGAGAGATGTCTCATTGATCTTACCACATCTTCTTAATTTTATATTTATACTAAAAGTACATTAAATGATAATTTATAGCTAGAAGATACATTTGTCTTTTAAAATACATCTGTCATATAAGGATCGTAATGCAACCATGTGGATACATTTATCGGTTTTCAAGAAGATAAATTAACAGAGCGTCATCCTTACATGTATTATGAAAGACAAAGAAAAATGATTCACTTTTGGTTTAAATTATTAGATACTGATAACTGTATATTAAAAGCATGTTATGAAGATATGTTGGAGAGTTCATTTAAAAAACCCAAAGACAAATTGAATTGGGCATGTTCAGTCAGAGATATTTTTTGTAAATATGGTTTTCATGATGTATGGCTAAACCAAAGCGTAAAAAATGTTGATATATTTATACATGAGCTAAAATAACGAATGAAAGATACCTTTATCACTAATGTTAATGCGTTTTTTAACAATTCATCTAAATGTATACTTTATAGATATATATATATGACACAGGTATATTGCAACTTTATTTAGATAGACCTGTTAATCAAATATATAAACCTTATATATGTAAATATGGTATCTCTGCCCATAGCCTCAATGTCGAGACAGGCAGATATTACAATGTAGATAGAGAAAATAGATTATGTACTATGTGCAATAGCAATATTGTTGAAGACGAATACCATTTTATTTTAGAATGTAATAGATATAATGATGTAAGAAAACAATATATTAAGAAATAATATTGGCAAAAACCATCCACTTTTAAATTTATACAGTTGTTATCAGTTCACAATGTGAAAGAACTTAATAATTTAGGTAAATTTTTGTTCAACATCGACAAAATCCGTAATACGTACATTTTGTAGTTGTATTCCTTATTTATCATATGAATTTATTGTCATTCTCCGCCATATGTGTATTTTGTATAATTATTGTTATTAATATTACACTGATGCATTTAAAAATTTGATGTAAAAATGTATATTCTATAAGCTGTATTGCTTCTGAATAAAAGTATTATTATATACACTGGCTTCCATTTTCATGATTGAAAAAAATAAGTGGCGCAATGGAGAGATAATTTTGGCGAAGTAAAATCCTGACTTGTTAAACACACATATACATGTATGTATATGTATATCCTCTTGCATATACAAATACATTACTGCAATATCAAAAATAAGTCTAATTAGAGAGGGTATTAACGGAGCAAGTCTAGAGTACCGCGACGTATTTTGAGATAGCAGTCATTCTGTGTTTTTTTTATACTTTAGTAGTTTGCGGAAAATGTAATCCCGCTTCAATCTCACATACAGTCAATACTACAAATGGAACAAATTTGCCTTTTTTTCGGAAAACGCGTGGCTCAAACAAAAATAGGTATGGTTTAGATTGAGCCGGTTGTTCTTGCATTTTGCTGAAGTTCCCTCTTACAGGCATACACTTTCTTCGCGCTAATTTGCAAATTCATTTTGTATGCACTTTGAAATGATGCAAAATCCTCCCATCATAAAACAATTCTAAAGTTCTGTGACGTCACCAATATTTAGACTAGGTTTTATTATCTCTCCGTTCAATTTTAGGATATCAACCTTTATTTTGGGATTATCAGGTTTCTTGTATACTGATACTATAATATATCAACTGCAAGTCACAATATGTAGATTTGTATCGAGTAAGCGCAGCGAAATTAAAGGGATTTGTTTTTGATAATTGATATTTACCAAAATAGTCTGGCCAAAATTATCATAGTTTGTAAAGCAGTAAGAAAATGTGAAACGATAACTTGGATTTTGAGACAAATCTATATATTTTCCACAAGATCGTGATTTCTACAGGTCAGTTTATACCTATCTTAAAATGTTTAGATTCGTATTAAAAGAAGTCAATACAATAGTTTATTTTCATACTTTAAAGAAAGATTTAAGCATTTCTCGAACCAAACTGTATGATATTTGACTCTGCTGTACCAAAACTCTCACTTGATACTCTGAATACAACAAGTATACAACATTTAGTTATTGTACAAGAGCTTCACAATTCAAAATTGTATATAATATACAATATGCTTTATTTAAAAACACTCTGTCATATTCACATATGAAACAAGAGGTACACATATACAAAATACTATCACATACGATCATAGAAAGAAATAAAACAACTCTAAAATGAAATATATTAATAATTACTATACTTTATAATAGTTTAATCAACTTTGAAACAAATAAAGATACATTTTAGTATCTTTATATTACCCAATGAGAGCAATCGAATAAGTAATGGTATTCATTACCAATAGCATTCAAACATATAGTTTAGTTTTACACGGGAGACGGTACACTATAATTTATGACGAAAGGGACGATTTTGCGTTCCCTATTGTTAATTTTCCTTTTTTGGACGATGATGTTCCTTTGGCACCATCTTATGGTGTTTATATATCACAACTGGTTCGCTATGCCCGTGTCTGTTGTGACGTTTTGGATTTCAATGAACGTAATCTATATATTACTGGTAAATTATTAAGTCAGGGATTTCGTTACCACAAATTACTTAAAATCTTTACTAAATTCTTCCATAGATATAAAGATTTGATTTTGAAGTTTGGTTGTACCTGTAGAAAACTTATTTCAAACGGGATAGCACATCCTCTTTTTAACGGAGATGTTGTTTACCGAGCCCGGAAATTTAGAAATGATCCGGGTAAACTTATCGATCCTTTTAATAAACTTGTTCTAAAAGGTTACCAATTCAACACTGTAATTAGATCTTTGAATATTGTTTATATCGACCTTAATATTGATTTTGTTATCAATAAATTAAATTCAAACTAAACATTATTTTTATATACATATGCACATTCATGGCTCTACAATCTGTCGATACTTGTATCTTGGCATTGCACAAGGTCATGTTTTTCTCTGGCTGTTTATGACTTCTATATACTAAATCCATTGGATGTTGGATGTGTTATGATTAAAATTTTAGTCTTAGATGCATGACTTTTTTTATTAGTTGTTATTGGCTTTGAACTAGCTGTCAGTAACTGCGAGTACTCTCAGATCTGTACTTAGTGTCTTTTTGTTGTGGGGATGTATAAGTACCCATCCACGTCCGATTGTTCTTATGTTGTACTATTACACCACTGTCCCAGGTTAGGGGGCGGGTTGGCGCCGTCAAACTAGTTTAACCCCGCCACATTCTGTATGTGCATGTCCCAAGTCAGGAGCCTGTGATTAAGTGGTTGTCGTTTGTTGCTGTGTATCATATTTGTTTTTCGTTCATTATTTTTTACATAATTTAGGCCGTTAGTTTTCTCGTTTGAATTGTTTTATATTTGTCATTTCGGGGCTTTTTATAGCCGACTATGCGGTATGAGCTTTGCTCATTATTGAAGGCCGTACCGTGGCCTATAGTTGTTAATTTCTGTGTCATTTGGTGTCTTGTGGAGAGTTGTCTCATTGGCAATCATACCACATCTTCTTTTTATACATATGACATACCCTCTCTTCTTTCGGAATATTGTACAGATCTGTACCACCTACTCAGCTCTACTGGAATTTTCCCATTACAGCATCTTAATTTAGATATATTCACCTTCGATGGGTGATAATTGTAAAACATACTTTTCTAAACAAAACATTGTTTTGAACAGACCGTAAAATTCTCCTCTAATTGATTAACATCTAATGGCAATTGCTGAGTCCAAACATACCTAAGTCGAAACATAGCTAAGTCCAGAATTGTATACAATCGATTTAAGAGATAGTCAATCCGCTTGAACGTATAAACAGGATACTGCTTAGTTTGTTTTCATTGGAGAGAAGTTTATTCCAAAAACACACCATTCTAACTTTGATTAATATATATATATTGATGTACGACCAAGTTCTCCATATGTCATAAAATTTGGTGTCGAGGATCTAATTTTTAACAATTTCGGCAAAACGGTAGATGGATTTTACAGCATATAATTGTTTCCGAATCCCCATATTTCACACTCATATGTCAGAATGGGAAGAATAAGTGTATCAAACAGTTATTGCAAGTCGACAGGTATAGATAGGTTACGTTTCTTTGTATAAAGGCCAAATAGTGCTTTCTGTGCTTGTTCGCTTAAGCGTTTTTTTTTTTGCTGTAGCAAATGAACCATTGTAATTAAAAGTTAGTCCTAGATATGAATAAGAATCTTGAATTTCAATAGACTGGTCAAATAGTTGAAACAAGAACAAAGTTTAGTTGTGCAATTTTCATGTTATCTGTTGCGATGTAAATATTTAAATAACCATTGGATTTTAGGGAAGGAAATTATAAATATAATAATTAATATAAATCTGACTTGGTTATTGCAACGATTTTAAAATCTCTAATTGTTATTCGTCAATTTGCAAATACACAAGACTCTTTATCATGAATGAATTGACCATGCAGATTTCATTTTTATGGCGTCGAAGGTGGAGTGTAGTCCGGAATTGGTTCGGTTTCATTTGTCAGCCTTATCTGTTGTAATTGTACTTGCAAGTCATTCATCTGGATTATCCTCGGTATTTGAAAATTATTTTCTGTCGATGTGGTTGTAGTTGAATACGTTTCATCGTTTTCCTCTGAAAAATATATAATAATATAATTGCTACACTCATTTTAATTCATCTCGGACCGATTAAATCCCTCTTGGGATTCTGATTCCGGACGATTTTCTGATTTGGCCTCGATTAGAATCCCTTTCAAGCCACGTTTACTCTATTCGGGTATTTTTTACCAACTATCTCACCTCGAACCGGTGCTTTTTACAGCACCATTCCGTACTCCATAAGCAGGAAGGAATTGAAAAGAAGACATATTTGCCTTTAAAATGTTTTAAATACCTTACCTCAAACGTATTTATCAATATATTGAACTTTCTTCTTAGTGACGGCCATATTCTTCTTTTTTTTCTCTCTCTGACCTTTGACATTTTTTTTCTAATTTGAATACGAAAATCTAAGTTAAAACTCTAGAAATCGGTTTGTTGAAAAATTAACAGAATAGTTCAGTTCCTTTTCACTGTATCAATCACGTATAAACTAACAGAATAGTTCAGTTCCTTTTCACTGTATCAATCACGTGTAAAAATTCATCAAAGATACCAGACCTATAATTGTGTACGCCAGGCACACGTTTCGATACGCTTGCAATGTCGTAGCACCCTAATTTATCCGATTTAAGGAGTTCTTTCTATTCTCTAAATTGATTTACGAGATATGAAAAGCGTTAAACTTGTTGTCTCTTATATGAAGTACCAACGATCGTTTAACCAATGTATTGCTTGTTAATTTTGATGATTCTTATTATTTTCAAGATTAACTTTTCTTTAGACAAAAATAATATATTTATATAAACTCACAAGTATTTGATTTTATATTATATCCTTAATACCTGGTATACTGGCCTGTCTGATATCGTGCTTTTCCCTATCAACAGGACATTTAATGGACTTGTATCCACGTTTTTGTGCCATAATCCTGACACATGCGGTACAAAGTATGTGTCCGCATGGTAGAATGATCGGCTTGCGTTCTTCGTCATCATATTGGTCTAAGCATATTAAACACACGTCACTGTCAATGTATACAGTAGCATTTTCATCCTCGTTTTGAAACGACAGTATTGACGGAGGTTGCCCAACGGAGTGTGTACTTCTTAAAGTACTTTCTGTATAACTGGAATCATTGCTGGTCTGTTCACGCAGTAAATCAAGGGATCTTTGGAGATCAAAAATGTCAGAAATTTCAAATATAGAATCATTGCCATAATGACGACATTTCTTTATACAATTTCCCATAAATGGATTTCAAACAATCTGTAAAATCAAATATTGTGCATTGATTTTCTTGAAATTTTATTTAATATGAATTGAACAATCTTATTTCTCATTTGATCACGGGGTATTGTGAGTTTTTGGTTTTACATAAGTTGCATGGATAAATCGATATTGAAAAAAGATTGGTAGTTTTGATGTGCTAGGAAATCGGTTTCAGCTAACCACTTTTGCAAAGTGCCTGTACCGAGTCAAGATAAGGGCAGTCAATTGTTGATTAAATGATAAAATTTTCCAAAAGTGGTCAGTACATGCAGAGACATTTAATACAAGAGATTCGCAACTCTAGTAGAATCTAAGTAATGGCCAATGAAATGTATCGGCCACCGGAAATCGATTGGGATGATTGGATTGTGACGAAAAAATCCGCCATTGTGGTGAATAAGATGCGACGCCTAATGATTTTTTTATTGTTTGTGCCGATAGTTTCAACAGCTAAAGCATGCAGGTATATTCAAAAGATACACAAACCAAATTCTAATAATTTGTAATTAATATAATGTTTTGAAATGACGAGAGTAATCAAATACAGACCAATTTAAAACTCGGTCCATTCTGCTTCGCCTCCTATTACCGTAGACCATATATAGTCTACCAATCTGTTTCGGTAAAACTTAAAAATTTACGATTAAACATATGATTTTATGGAGCTATATTACTCCCAAATGTTATATCGTCAAAAATAAGACTGGTTTCGTAAATTTGATCCAACAGTGGTTTCTAAAAATATCAACAAAGGTAACTATTATGTTCATATTGGCACTCACAGCCACCTATGCTGGTACTACAAATCTGTTTCGTAAAACTTGGAAATTTACGAATTACTATACAATTTTATGAGGCTCTATTACTCCCAAATGTTATGTTGTCAAAATAAGACATGTATCGTAAAATTTTATCCAATGTTGGGCTTCTAAAAATACCAACAAAGGTGACTATTATTTTCATATTGATACCCAAAGCCAGCTATGCTGGTACCCTACTTTTGTTAAAAAATAACTCTTGGCTTGAGCGCAGACTATTCATCTTTTGTGGGTATATTTTTTTAAAAATACAACGTTTAATTCTAAATATCTTGGGAAAAAAATATATTTTAGACGAGTTGTTTTTGACAAAAAATGTTTTTACTATTGTTTTAAATGTTGTTAGCTAGAAAAAAAAATATGTCATTGAGTTTAAAAGAAAATGCTTGTTCTACATGTTTAATTTGGGAAAAAATAGTGTTTCTTAACATTCGGGTAGTAAAGTAAGAAAACATGTTTGTCATTAGAATGAAGGAAAAAACCATGACCTCAAGCACAGACTGGGCCTTGCAAAAATTAGTGAAAACAAGTGTTTGGTTCTCCTTTAAAATTCATATAAGAATCACTGAAGATTTTTGTATATTTTCTTTGAGAATATGAACCATCAGAGAGTGGATGGCATATATCTGTTCTGAATGAATATTGATTTTCACCTTATGCAAGTAATTTTTTTTTGCGTAGCAAAAGTTATTTATTTTCAATGTACACTTTTATATCCTGCATTTCGTTGGACAAAATATTCATTTTCACCCTGTTTAGGGCAAGGTTATTTATTTTTAGTTCTTACAAAGCCAGACTATTTCATATTCAATATCCTCCTAACCCTCCCCCCAGAATATTTGTGAGGAGATTTGTACATAAAAGTTTCATCATTAAAATTTCTAAATCTGTATAAAAAGCATTTTACAATAATTAGTGTACATGTACCTGTGTCATTTCATATACTTCCTTAATGTTCTTCTGTAGGATAGTTATTGGTTCATACAGAGATGTGTATTATATGTCTCCGATAAATACATGTATGATAGTTGATGTTTTGAATTGAAATTTGTAACTACCAAATCTTACAAATTTCAAACATCCCCACTGACTAGCACATATGTACTTACTATTTAATGCTAACTACGTATCATTTAGGTATTACACAGACTATGCGTCAAAATACCTGTGTGTTGTTATTGATATACATTTGAAGTATTTAAAGGTTGATTTGTAATTGAAGTACATATGTAATTAGAGAATAATGATATTAGCAGTATTCCTACCGAACAAGGAAGTGTTGATCATTTCGCGGTAATCTTGTTGGTTATCTTCTATCCAAAAATATGTGTATTATTCTGAATGATTTTTTCTATCAGCCCCATGGCTTAGTTCCACAGGGTGCAGGTTTGAATTAAGGCATGGGGAAGTTGTATTCGGAGTTTAATTACAGATGCAATTAATAAAATAATAAGTTAGATATTGAAATAGCTTATATTATGTCCTATTGATATGTGATATTATGACTGCGTTTAAATTCGCATGGCCGTTGATGTAAGCAAGATTCCTTTTATTAGAAAATATAACCTTTTCTGATTTAGTGTTTAACATAAATTCCTGCTCTTCAAATGTTTTCAGAAAAAGTTCATCTTCAGGGAGGATATTGTTAAGAGTCAGGTTTTGAAGTTTAAAACTAGTTCAGCAATAGTTGTTCACTCATGAAAATTCTAGTTTCCTTTCCCAATTTCATTGATGGCCAGTCCCTTGATGATGCATTGCCTCTAATTATTTGTTTCTTTCCTGGTCCCATCAATATCATATGGCAAGCTGTCCCAAAATTATGAGATTTACCAATTATACAATGTATCTAGACTTGAGATAAAAAGAAATGTAAGTGTCGATTTGTTACTGGCGTCCTTTTGCAAGTTAATTTTCCAATAATCAGATATTGCCTCTCTAACCTGACATTTCTATCACTTCGAAGGTAATTGATCACTTAGTGATGGAGGTTACAGGTTTTAACTTGTTTATTCGAGCGTTACTGGTATCTTATGTAAACGAAACGCGCTTCTGGCGTACAAAATTATAAGCCAGATAACTTTGATGAGTTATTTTACAACCACTGGGTCGATGCCAATGCTGGTGGACGTTTACTCGCCGGGGGTATCGCCAGCCCAGTAGTCGGCACTTATGTGCTGACACGAATTATCATTGATATTGTCATATCTATAAATTAACGGTTGACAAAACTTTGAATTGTTCAAATAATTGGGATTTCCTACCCAAGGTACTTAGCTGTATTTGGCAAAACCTTTCAGATTTGTTTGTTTTTAATGCTCTTCAACATCATACTTTATGGCATTTAAAACTTTTTTATTCGAGCGTCACTGATGAGTCTTATAAAGACGAAACGCTGGTTTGGCGTACAAAACTATAAGCCTGGAATCTTTAATGAGTTATTTTACATAAAAAATAAATAAATTTGCTACTCTGTGAAGAAAGATTAGTTCACGAGTTGCAGGGTGTGTTGTCTTTCTAGGGCCTTTCTTAGACTGTCATTCTTTGGTTAGAAGGTGGAAAGAAACAAGCTAAGAATTCGATGTGATTTATTGTATGGAAAGAGCACACAAAATACTAGTATAGTTAGTGTATTGGATACATGCAGATTGAGGATTGTATACGTATTTTGTTTGGAAAGACTATTAGTTTGAATGTTCAATGTGGGCAGACTTTGCTGTAATTTTAAGGTCGTTTGAGTTCTCAGAGTGTAGCAGATAGACCAATTTAGAGTTGACTGAATTTCAATTGCTCCAATTCTAGATTCCACGGCCTGTACTCTTACTTACCGCACCCTTTTATGCATGTTAAATGAGTCTATCATATACTAGAATTTGATTTACATACTAATTTATAAATTTGTTATTGTAGGTCTTCGATTCTGCATCACAAGAGTTCTACAATGTCTTGGTCTACATTATCTCCTCTGCAGAAGTTTATTATTTTAAGTGGTTCTTTGTTTTTATGTTATAGTTCAATTACGTATCCGTGTAACTCCATATCACTGCTGTCAGTGCCAGTTGTTTTGGTCTGGAAGATGTTATCGTGGGTCTTAAAAATTTTATTTACTATTAGTATGTTGCTTTTAAAAATTTTATGAATAATAATGTGTGCTGTTCTAAGTATTTCTTGTTTTCTTGAATGCAAATGATCTTTCTTAGTACTTGTGGTTTCCTTTACTGAAGTTATACCATTGTTTACTTCAGTACATTGTTGTACTTTTGCAGAACTAAGTTATTTCTTTAAGTATTCTAAGTGATTTTTGACACTCCAGTTTTCGGTTTTTTTTTTCATATTGGGCATATAACTTGGCATTCACAAGCTTTTACGTTACTATTTATTTCACCAATAATTTCCAGTGGAGGCTTCGGCATGTTCGCGGGCAACATCGTCATCTTTCTGATATATTCTGTATATCCTCTTTATACAGATAATTTCTACTACATCTCTTGCATATGAACAGTATGGTTGGATCAGTCTGGTTCACTTAGGTTCTTGTAAAACCAACACAAGTATTGTGAAACCAGTGGTGGCAATTCTCACATTCAATGGTATCTTTATCTGACTGTTGGTTTCAGACGGCAGAAACATTTTTGTTTGATATCAGAGCTAACATTTTCTGAATGACATGGATGTGTTGAACTTACCTGACGGTTTCAGAAGGACAGAAACATTTTTGTTTGATATCAGAGCTAACATGTTTTGAATGACACGGATGTTTGTTTTCTGATTGATATCAGAGCTAACATTGTCTGAATGACACATAGATGTTTTTTTTTATATTGATATCAGAGCTAACATTGTCTGAATGACACATAGATGTTTTTGTTTTTGATTGATATCAGAGCTAACATTGTCTGAATGGCACATAGATGTTTTTTGTTTTTGATTGATATCAGAGCTAACATTGTCTGAATGACACGGATGTGTTGAACTTATATTCCGATTTGTTTTTGCAAGTTTGATTTTCATCATAAAGTTTAAGATGATGTGTTTGCTGATGATTTCTTACATAGCTACTATTATTTATCACTTGACTAATTTTAGGGCTCGTTTTACTAACGACCTCTTCATTTTTATATCAGATGATTTCTTTTTGTGGAAGGTTTGTTTCTATAAAAAGGTATGCCCTAGGATCATTTACCAGTGAACATTACTTAAGAATGAAACAGATATATTGAAAAGTTCGGGTATGCCTTGACTTGCACGTTTTTCAGGCTACAAAATCTTAGTCTAGTAATCTCTGTTTCATTCCATTTTTTTTATCTTTAACTATTTATAATATGTAAAGATAAATATTATTCAAATAAAAAAAAAACAAAAAAAAAAAAAACAGGTATAGTGCGGAACAACCACACATACCACAGAGCATATTTAAAGATTTCGTTTTTGTTTGTTCCAACAATCTGTATTAACCAAGCTTTTGTCAATAAGGGAGTTGGATAAATTCTGTCTTTGTAGAGGGTTGTGTGTATATATTTTCCTGGTTTTATTTATACTGTGCTCCTTATCAGTATGTGTACTACATGTTCTGTATAGATCATAGGAACAATCAGATCTTGAGTATTGTTTAGGTACTTAATAGCAGAGTACTTAAATGTTATGTATTTGAAAACACATTGCATCGAGGTGGACAGTGTTTCTTACCCGCTTTGTATTCTACCGTTTTATCGGAAAATGCCTGTCTTACCGATTTCGCCATTAGGTAAAAATGAATAAAGAATGCGGAGAACATGCGAAGTTACTTCACTTGACGAATTCGTCTCGAAATGACATGTTCTCAATAGGCATAATTCAAAATTAAACGGAAAAAGCAGCATATCATTATTGTTTATTTGGAAATTATATAAACTATTAAATAAAACAGTTCGTTGTGTAATCCAGAGAGGAGAAACATCAGATTTATGAGCAGACATGATACAAGTATGCCACTTAAGAGCGGGGTTAAAGACTTTTACTCTTACTTAAGTTTACATCGACGTCTCACATTCAGGAAATGATTTAAAATGTTAAGCCTAAAATTGACGAATAGACAGTATTGTCCTCAAGCAATTATGGCCATCCATTTTCTAGTACAGACTTTTCAATCTTTAAATATAATTCAGAGAGGCTCTCAATCCATGGCCCCTTAATAATTAAAGAAGAGATAATGACAGACACTAACAAAACTATAAAGCTGTGAAGAAATACGTTCATATGAAAGATCGATGATTTTCTATCATCTATTAGATACCTAATCATACATCTTTAGGTGGCCAGAATGCAGAATACATTAGTTTCCATACAACAGTTAAGACATTAGGACGGGTCATTTAACGTATATTAAATTCTTCTTAAACTTATGGTAAATTCTTTAAAAAGAAGATTTATTTCTTCAAATTATGATACCAACACACCTTCTTCATATAGTTTCTACACTTTCAAGCGACGTAAGTTACGGAGCAGTGTTATACTTCATGACTTTTACAGACCTATTTTTATCTCAGTGCTATAAAAACTTTTGATATTCTCTCCGTCTTCCCTTTATATCCCAGTTATACCTTCAAACAACTGTAATAGTACGGTGACAAGTAAGGTAAATTTAAAAATTTAATGGACCGAAATACCTCACGGCTAATTTTGGTCTTATTTTGAAGATACATATAATACCCTTTGACTAAAGCGTGTCGTAGAGTGCCAAAGTGGTGCAGATTTTTGAAAACTGTGGTCAAAGGTCGAAAGGGGGGATTTTAAAAAATCGCAATTTTTAGACATTTTGTACAATTTCTCGGTAGTCCCCCATGATAACTGAGAATTTTTTCTATGGAAGCATGCTCTGGGAATGCTCCACGAATTCCGCTAGTCCTAGTTATGCCTGATTGCCAGAGATTAGAGATGTATACCTTCGCTTCCAACTTGTAAGAAAATGAAAAAAAATATCTTTATCTACGGAAATTATCGACAAAAAATATTCATATTCAATATTTAGCTATGCAGTGATATATGACAACATATAAAGATATTTTTGGGAATGTTTTGTTTAAATGCCATAAAGAACAGAGGAGAAATAAGAACTGTAAAGTTAACACCCGGTCCGTGATTTAGTGAAAAAAAATGATGAAATTCATTACTGATTATTTAAACCCAAAAGAATGTTCGAACAATAAAAAAAAT